ATAGAATCAACCTAAATGTCCATCAATGGTAGACTGAATAAAGAAAATGTGGTACACACCATGTAATACTATGCAGCCATAAAAAAGAATGAAATCATGTCCTTTGCAGAAACATGGATGGAGCTGGAGGCCATTATCTTTAGCCAACTAACGCAGGAACAGAAAATCAAGTACTCCATGTTCTCACTTAAAAGTGGGAGTTAAATTATGAGAACACATGGACAAAAAGGGGGAAACAAGAGACACTGGGGCCTACCTGAGGGAGAAGGGTGAAAGAGGAGCAGAAAAAATAACTATTGGGTACTATACTTAGTACCTGGGTCACAAAATAATGTGTGCAACAAACCCGTGACACAAGTTTACCTATAAACAGACCTGCACATATACTCCTGAACCCAAAATAAAAATTTGAAAAAAATATGCACATTTTGACCTGCAAATCTCACTTCTTGCAGAAGTAGTATTCATACATGTGCAGGGTTATTTGCATAATGATATTCATAACAGCATGTTTAATAGCGAAAAGTTGGACATTAACCAGAGAAATGATTAAATGAAGTATGGCACATTTTTATGTACAAATACTATACAATACTTTAGAACGCAGGTTGGCAAATTATGACCCACAGGCCAACTTCAGCCTATTTTTCTTTTGGAGTTTTGTTTGGCATAGGCATCCAAAAGGGTAAAGAAGTGTCTGGATCCACCATAGGATTTCTCTCTTTGCCTTATAGCACCCCGGTCCCTCCACCATCTCCTTGCTGAAAACACATGTTCTGCTAAGCCAAGGAGGAACACTCAATCTGATTCTCTACCATTTTTACTGGTACTGTTTCCTTCCAATGATGAGGGTAGAGATGGAGTGACCCATTATTTGATTTTTAATGAGCCTGTACATTTTGCCATGTTAGTTTCTACTGTATTTTCTCTTTTGAGGATGTCAAGATGTAAGTTAGACTTACTGGTTTCAAATACTGTAACTTATTTAACATAACTATATAAATATACTTAAGTATAACTTAATATAAATTTATATATACTTCATATGTATATAAATTTATAACAACATAAATATTGTTACTTATGGTAACATTTTTCCTTACTTTTGGTATTTCAACAAAAGATAGCTAACTTCAAGAATAATTTGACAATACTAATTAATAGTCTTGAACAGTCTCCTCCCCTCAAAATGTATTTTTCCCCCAGCTAATTATAAATGCTTATCCTATGAAATGCTAAGAATTGGAAACTTAAAATCTTCACGCCAAATCATATCTTTGGCAAATTCATCTAAATCACAGGAAGTTTTCTAAAAGTATATGCTGAATGTCTCTCCCCTGCTAAAACTAGTTTACAGTCTTGAGTTACAAAGAGGTAGAAGTCATTGGAGAATGTGCCCTGCCAGCTAGCAAGAAACCAATTATTTAATTCTTGAATGAAGTCCCTTCTTTCTCTCTAGGCAAACCATCAATGTTTATATATTATTAAACTATTCTTGTATTGCACTTCACAGCTTTCAAAGTGCTTTCCTATACATTACCCCATCTGTCCAGTGACCCTGTAGTAGGGTCAAAGAGAAAATTCTTTGTGAACAACTGTCTCACAGATGTTAAATGATTTGTCTAGGAACACAAGTGGCAAATGTCAAAGAAGAAATTCAAATTCTCCCTCTCAGAAACATCTAAGTATTCATTTTAAGTAGTTCAAAGATGTCTGTTTCCTCTTTTTAACTGCCTTTTATTAAATGGCATCAGAGAAATATTCTCTCCCTTGAAAATAAATGAGTGTCAACTGTTTGAGATTTCTATTTATGGTTTTAATGACAGCAATGACTAAAAAATGCTGCTAGAGGGAGATAGAGAAATATCCTCAAAACTTGCATTACATCTCACAAAGAGTACACCAATCTATTTAGGTTTGTATGACCAAAACCTGCCTGTAATCTGATTCTCCTTCCCCAAATATTTGAAACTAATTTGTCAGAAAGTCACAATATTAAAGAACCACAGAAATATACAGTGTCCCAATGAGACAAAAAAAAAAAAAAAAATCAAAGAAACTCAATCAATGGTAATACTACAAATATATAGGCATTGTTTTAAAAACCAACTCTAAAATGTTGCCTTTCTGAATTGCTGATGACACTATTGAAAACACACCTTTTAAGGTAAGTCTCAGAAAATAAGTGAGAGTGGGTATGTTTCCCTTACCACTCCTCCCACCCAAAAATATTACTAAGTGATTCTTCAAAAAATAGAAGGACAATTTACATGGAGTCCTTAGGATACGGTTGAGTATAATTAAAGTAGCTTTAAAAAAAAAAAATGAAAACATGACAAGAAACTAAAACTAGTAATCAATGACTTCAAGTACAAAAAATAAATAAATAAATTAGTTCACTTAATGATACTGGAGCACTATTGGTTTTGTTCCAGGATTAAAATGAAATACTAAAAGAGCACTGCATCTGCTACTCCTATCTTCATCTAATAGCCTATAGGTGACCTCTTTCAATATACTAAGTTACATAGACATCTGATATACAGACAGAAAAGGCAGGCTAAAATTAACAAAATAACAAGCCTGATTGAATAACTGTCAAGCATATTTTTAATCATCCGTCACTTTAAAAGGTAGTTTTTTGTTTCTTTTTTTTTTTTACAAGTCTATACTCCTAGAATTTAGGGTATAAGGCATGGCCTGCAGTTTCAACAATATTCATAGATAAGGGGAAAGAAAAGACCGAGGTAGATCCCTAGAGATAGAATACATTAGTAGATCCATGTTGAGAAGAGTAATCTAAACCATCTGTATACATATGTGAGAAGCCTCAAGTTTTGAGGTCAAAGGGAACAAGATCTTACCCTTTCTTTCCATGAGATGTTAATTCTCTCATTTTCTACCCTCTTCACCCCTCCCTCTAACTCTTTTTATCTTGTATGTCACTTGATTCTTCTACCTCTTCTTGTCTTCCCAAATCTTCCCTTCCCTTAATTTATAATAATTGAAGAAATTATTTTTTTTCTTTACAATTGTATGATTTTGCCTTCAACTATATACTTCTAGGACTTCAAGCTGAAGAACTTGGGCAGTAGAAAAATTGTTGAAGTCAATCAAAAAATCAATCAGAACACTGAACTCCAGCTCTACTACTACCTATTTTTGTGACTAGGGGCAAATAATCTTTGGGGGAAAAAAAAGGAACCCTACTAAATATTCTTATCCAAAATTTAGACTTACAGTTAACAATATAAATTAGTAAACTATGAGTTACTTAATATAAAGTAGGTACTTTGTGGTTTTTTGACATGTCAAGATGCAAAATTAAAATGGATGAGCTTACCCAAGACATTCACCTTATTGTTCAGTTGTTCAAATTTCAACTTTTTCAAAAAGTTGATTTATTCAAATAAGTATACAAAGGTAACACTTGCATTTTTGTGTTTCTTAAATCTTTTAAAAGTCCCTCCTCCTTTTCCCTACAACTTGTTAAAGAAAACCGAGTCATTTATCCTGTAGAATTGCCTGTTCAGAATTTTGTTGACTGTGCCCCCATGGTGTTCTTTAATGTGTTCCTTTGTGCTGTTCACTCTCCATTTACAGATAGGTGTAGGAGCTTGATTCGATTCAGGGGTTTTGTACTTTGGCCAAACACTTATAGGTGGTGCTGGGTACCTGCTGAGTCTTATCAGAAGGCACATTACTGTAAGATTGACCAGTGGGTTCAGGTATTGCCATTCTCATCTATCTTTACAAGGTTTCTCATCAGCTTTTCAACTAATACTCTCTGAAGCCATTGATGATCATTGCTTAGATTTGTCAATTTAACAGAAATTGAAAAACAGCGATATTCTAACACTTCTTCTGCATTTGTTAATTGCAATAATTCTATGTAGTCAACAAAATTTTCCCTTCATAATTTGATCATCCTGAAGTAAGGCAGGATAAATGTTTCTTTTTCTCCAAGTTAGCAGTTTTCAGAATGATTTTTTCAATATCCTTTCAAAGGTTATCGAGGTAGTTTGCTGTTTGTGGTTGCTGGTTTTAGTAGCATTTTGAATGCATAGGTTTACATATTTATAATAGCATGTTGGAATCAATTTCAGTTATTGCTCTTACTGATCATGAAATTACTCCGTCCATACAGCCAGTGGTTCAGAATCCCTGTAGTTGGATCCAGTGTTTCTGAGAAAAACAATGGTGTTTAAGTTTTCCTCCTTTGGTGATACTGAGTTTGTATTGTAATTTTTTAGATGTAAAATAATATTGTAAGGCCAGAGCAGTGGCTCACGCCTGTAATCCCAGCACTTTGGGAGGCCTAGGCAGGCAGATCACTTGAGGTAAGGAGTTTGAGACTAGCCTGGCCAACATGGAGAAACCCGTCTCTACAAAAAATATAAAAATTAGCCGGGCGTGGTGGTGGGCGCGCCTGTAATCCCAGCTACTCAGGAGGCTGAGGTACAAGAATCGCTTGAACCCGGGAAGCAGAGGTTGCCGTGAGCAGAGATCGTGCCACTGCACTCCAGCCTGTGTGACAAAGCGAGACTCAGTCTCAAAAAAAAAAAAATAGTATTGTGTTTTACTAGGAGAAAATGCCTAATATAAATCTAATGATACATCTCAGATGTGCTTCAAAATAAGCTGGAAGCAAGTAGTTTAGAGATGAAACTAGTTTGGCCACATGTTTTTAACTTTTGAAGTTAGTGTAATGATAGTTATACTACTGTTCATTATGTTATTCTCTTGCATACATTTGAAAATTTCCATAATGAGGTTTTTTTTTTTTTAATTCCATTTAAGTGGTAAAAATTTTTTAAAAACTCACTACTACAGAAAAAGGAAACACACACAACCTTAAAGCCTGGTGTACAACCAATCAGTAGTTCCCTCAAAATTCTAATTAAAGTGCATGCAAGAGGAAAGTAGTAACTTATCTACTCAAACTTACTTTCCACTCAAGAAAAATGTGAATATCTGAAATTAAGAAATAGTCTGAAAAGTGTCATTCTTAAAGTATTCTTTATTAAGATCATTAAAAGTTGTAGAAACAACTTCATATTATAAAGGCACAGGGAGACAGTTTGATAAAATATTCAAATTAACAGTAACTTACAGTACAAAAGACAATTTTAATGCACATACAAACCCCAAATGTCTGATTCAAAAATATTTTACTGTGTCTATTAATGGGCAATGATTAAAAATATAAATTGCTGCCATATAATAAATATCTGATAGTGAACTTCTTGATAGCAAAGTGAACAAAATATTTATTGCTTTTCACTTACATATTTTTCCCTGTAATTTTAAATTCCTAATTCTTTTACTATCTTCTCAACTTTTCCCAAAGATAAAATAAATTTCACATAATTTCATGGAGGGGAAATGGTAGTTATAAAAAACTACCTCAAGTAGCAATCACTGCTGGCAGTGTTTTCTCACTTTCTGTTTTGCAATTGCAATCACACTTCCAATAAGAAAAGCAAATGTTTGCTAAACCATAGACAGACAACCTCTTTGTGACTGGTATTGTAAGGTTTATAATGAAAACTTATCAAATATAAAAGGTGCTCCCTTTTCAAAATGTGTATTTTATTTGAAGTTTTGAGTAATGAGATGTTTGGCAATTTTAACTACTCCCCTCAAAAATCTCCCAAAGTTGCAAAAAAGTCAGTTTAGTAAAATTCCAAGCACTTAAATGCTTCATTGAGGGCCAGTTGATATATGCAATGCACTAATATGTAAAAATTAACATAATGCAACTATTTTATAATGGAGAGCTCTTACCTTTTCCTTCCAGTTTTTAAACTGGAATTAACTTCATTGACTTCATCCTCCTATTTTTATAGCAACCTAGTTTTAGATGGTACAAGTTGAATTTCTATCACAAGACAATAAAATAACATGAATGCATTATCCTAGTTAATGCTATTTCAACTTAAGAAATATGTACATTGAAGTATTTGATAATAATTGTAAAGTTACTTCACCGTATGTAATGTTCAGACAGTATGTAGCAGCTAGTAACGTGCCTGGCACTGAGTTGATGCTTAATAAATAGTTGCTGAATAAATGAAAAAGAAAAACGTGGCTTTGGTTGTGCGTACTTTAATCACTTTCTGATTTAGAAAAAGATCAGTCTAGAGCTCACTACTGCACACTACATCAAATTTTGCTGTAAACAAAAGTAACAACTTCAAACAGAAAAATATTACCTGTTAGTGATAGTCAACTTACATACCGTAACATTTTTTAAAGAGCCCACACATTTCTATGCAAATAATTAAATTTGATGTTTTGATGTTTAACCATTAGGTAAAGAAGACCAAAGTGGCTGACTGGCTAACTTGTCTGCTTTACAGTAATAATGATTAGTTCCTCAACAAATAAAAGGTTATAATGCCCAATTAAATTCAAACAATGGCTACCATGTTACTTTTGCAAAACTACCTACTAGTAAAAGGTAGGATAACTTTAAATTACTTGAAAGCAGTAGTTTAACTTTCAACAGAAAGAATCATCAGGAAGATCTGAATTTAATAATGACAGAGCTAGAAAACTGGAAGTAGGGTGGTAAGAATAAGTAGGTGACCAATTCTATTTTAAATTCTAAACATGAGACTAGATGTAATATTTCTTTGGCATATGCATTACTATCTTGGACTAGTTAACACTTTTTAGATACTGGGTTGTACTTTTTTTCTGAATCAAAATTAACATCAAGATACAGATTCTAGTATATTCTTCTTAAAGCCTTTAGTAAAAGATAAAATGACATTTTGCAACATATGCCAAACTTCATGTTTAGTGTATACTTGTAATTATTGGCATAGAGGGATGTAACTGTTAAATAACCTGAAATGATACCATGCAATGGTGAAACTACAGAAGGTGGTGAAAAGAAGTATTTACATAATATAATATTTAGCTTTCTTTAAAAAAAACACACACAGTAAACCTGGGAATCCTGACCTAACAGTAAATACGTACCAAATAGCACTGAATGAGAACTAGTAAAAATTTAAATGAACACCTACAGTAACCTGAATTTTCAAAATTTAATTTAAAAGAAAAACAAAAATGGGAAAAAACCCTACACATCAGAAGGAAAAATCGGCCTATAAAACAGGCCAATCTGACTTGACATTCAAAGTAAATGCAAGAGATTCACAAAATCATGATAGTAAATGCAAACTAAGTACCAAGTACCCTTTGATACACAAGTCAATGTACTATCAGACTCATTTCCAATAGCTTAACAATATTCATTAATCCACTCAAGCATTCCGGTGTAGTGGGGAGCAGCTGATGACAGCTCAAGCCTCCAAAGTATAAGAACATACTTATTTGCAGAAGCATCATGTGATTTTTGAAGTAATGTCTTATTTTGATGGATGTTAACATTAAGATCTATCAGTGCAAGTTTATCATCCTCTGAATGTAACACTTCCAAATTTCATTTTTTCAGATAGTTTTTTGGTGGTTTAGTTTTAGCCAGTGCTGTTTAAATGAAGGAAAAAAGAAAAGGTCACCATAGACTACCTCACGTTGTTACTTAATTGTGCTAAGTATTCACGCAGTTCTTTTGCAGCCTGGAATCTGCCATAGCGCTTCTTTGGGTTGGCACACTCATCCAGCAAGGCCTCGAGCCGGCCATCTTTGGCAATTTCACTTGGTGGATCATGAAGGAGTCCTCCAGAAGTGCCACGCCAGGTGGCATGTCTGGATAAGAGGTTCTGACAAACAGCATAGTAATTGTGGTCCACAGTGGCACGAGCACAAAGAATTTCTTTTGAAAATGATAAGCAAGCCTCCTTATCACAGTCATCAAACTTGCTTTCATACCATACATCCCAATTTTCAGGTTTATCTGTGAAAGGAGGAAAAGCAGAAGTAGAGAAAAAATTTTTTAAATAGTTTTCATTGCTTCCAAAAATAGAATATTTCACTAGTTAATAGTATTTGTTCTACACTTTTAGGTAAAAGTATATTATAACTTTAAACCTTTAAATATATAAATTCATACAAACATTCACTGAGAGTCCACCAACGCTAGGCAGAAAGATTCAAAAAGGTCCCTACCACTTACAGGTTTAGTCTAGTGACTTTCCATGGTACACAGAAAGTGCCATAAAGAAAATGACACAATGCTACAGGAATAGTGGGGAATTCACACTTATCCCTGGGGCTGTAGAAGACTGCAAAAAGGAGAACATCTGATTTAGGTCTTAAAAGTAACAAATCTGAAAAGAAACTAGGAAAAATAGCACTCTAGGTTCAGGACACAGTATATGCAAAGGCATGGACTTAAGAGATTGGTCCATTTGGTTGACGAGGCAGTAAGTTCACTGTGGCTACAGTGTGAGAAAGGTAGTTGGCAAGGAGATACAGGTGATGCTAGAGGAATAGGTCGTAACTTGTGTAATCATGACCATAATTCATTTTATAGAAAGATAACTGTGGCCTGAAGACTGGAAGGATTAAGACCATGACAGCAACTATAGAGGGCCCAGAATGAAAAGCTAGATTGGGGAAACATTTCAGGTAAAAATAAGTAAGTATATGGGTAAAGTTTAAGGTTCTAATTGGATGACAAGGTATGTACAATTGCATAATAGTGTCAATATTTTATATATAGACAACATAAATATAAAGGAGCTATAAGGTATCAGGTGGCAGCATGTCATATGTGCAACTAGAACTACACTTGACACATGAGTTTGAGATAAGAGGGATAACAGGCATATTGAGAACACATAAGCACACACGTACTTGAAGGAACCAAGGCTTGAAAAACAAATAGCTAGCTGTATATGGAAGGAAGAGACATTTTTGGAAGAGGAAACTGCATATGGGAATACCCAGAAGTGAGCCAATTCATTCAGGAAAACAAAAGACCATTGTAGCAGAAGCACTGAGGGCAATAGACAGAGGGGTATTAAAAATGAAACACTCGAAAAATACATACATACATAAGGCTGGGCGGGGTGGGCTCACATTTGTAATCCCAGCACTTTGAGAGGCGAAGGTGGGAGGACTGCTTGAGCCCACAAGTTTGAGACCAGTCTGGGCAACATAGCGAGATCCCACCTTTACAAAAAATTAAAAAATTAGCCAGGCATGGTGGTGTATGCCTGTAGTCCCAGCTACTTGGGAGGCTGAGGCAGGAGGATCACTTGAGTCAGAGAGGTCGAGGCTGCACTGAGCCGTGATCATGCCACTGCACTTCAGCCTGGGTGACAGAGACCCTGTCTCAAAAAAGAAAAAAAAAGAAAAAAAAGAATCAGAAGAGGGCCAAGTCACACAGATTACAGATTATGCCCTGGTAAGGTGTTTGGATTGTACTTCAAGAACAATGGGAAGTCATTAAAACCATTTAGGCAAAGGAGTAGTAAGATTAATGTTTTTTAGGGTTACTATTCCAAAGGAGGAAAAAACTTCAAGAAGTTGATACTAGTCAAAATCACTTCACAAATTTGCCAATTAGGTGGTTGCTAATGGCAAGGCAGAGGTCTACGTCAGGTTTTAATGGACTAAGGAATGAACAGAGGCTGAGGAAGCAGAAAGGCAATAAATACTTTTAAATAAAACAGTGGACAAGCAAGGAGAAGCAGAAGAGAATCTTATATACACTTTTTATAGGGAGGCAAAAGAAACGTTGGATATTAAAGGAAGGAGGTGGGACACTGAAGAAGGTAACTGATGTAACAAATTCTCAAAGAAGAATCTATCTGAAAAAGAAAGACCAATGTGTGTTGTTTTAATGAGGTTTAGACAATAAAGGACACTGAGGGAGTTGCCACAGCAAAATCTCAATTTCCCTGTGAAGAAATAAAATAAAGGTAATTTACTAGAAAGTGGAAAGAAAAGGGAGTGAATGAATAGACAGAGGCTTTTGCAAAGTGGTTACTTAGAGGACCCATGAGACATTTGAAAAGAAATGACCACACTTAAAGTAGCACTAGAGCAATGCTCACTGTATGAAATGTAAGAATACAGAAGCTATATGGTTGGATTCATCTAAGGTCAGGAATTAGTAATAATTATTCCAGGAATGTCTGCATAAAATGAATTATAAAAAAATTATTTTTATAAACACTGAAATAATTTTTTTAAGCTTAGGAAAATTGCACTCTGTGAATATAATAAAAACCACCTGCTTGTGTACACTTTAAAAAAGAAAGCATAGTATACGCTGCTACAATATTCACAAATGTAGGAAGAGGTAAATAGAGAGTAGAGTATTTCAGCAGGATGTTCACCTCCCATAGGAGGATCTACAGGGCAAGTCAATAAATAATCAGAAAATAGTCTGGTAAGTATAAAATCTGAACAAAGGGGTGGGAAAATCAAGTATTTAATAGGATCATGCTAAGATCAAGCAAAAAGTAAATGTCAACCTAATATATGGCTGTCACATAAACTTTTCCCCAGGTGCCACAAATTTTCAGCCTTTGTCAAAAGATATTCATATTACTTTTATCGGGGGAAAGAAGGGATTAAAAAATATAAAACCCTCACCCTTTGGTTTTTCTAACTGAATTGGTTCTAGACCTACAGGCTTTGTCCCTGACGCTTTAAAACTTCCATGGCATTTAATTTTCAAAACACTTCAGACACTATCCATCTATCCTGTGAAGAACTCAAAAACAAACGGAGAGCAAAGTTTTGGGTGAGATGTAATAATCAGAATATCAAACCAAACTCACAGCTGCAGTGCCAGGAATCACCAAAATGGTTAAATAAAGTACAAACCATATTTCAAGAACCCATACGATCATTCTGTTTTTCACTTTCAGTACAGAATTCAACATATTACATGAATATAATTATATTCAACAGTTTATTATAAAATAAGTTTTACTTTATGCAATTTCCCCCAACTGTAGGCTAATGTAAGTGCTCTGAGTATGTTTAAGGTAGGCGAGGCTAAGCTATGATGCCCTATATGTTAGATGTATTTCAAATAACAGTATTTTCAACGTAGACTGGTTTATCAAGACGTAACCCCCTAGTAAGTCAAAGAGTATCTGTATTCGTTTATTGACAGTGGTTATATAAAGCAAAGAAAGACGTGTAAAGTTGCCATCTAAGGAGGAAATTCAAGGCTCATTTCATACAAGTATAAACATTATATTGACATAGGAAAAAATGAGTAGAAAAAAATCTAAAAACTATATACTTACTTTGTCTAATTAACCTTTTGTCAGCAACCAAAACATTTTCAGCATCCACAATGATTACCTTCCCATCTCTAGGACCAACTGCAAAATTGTCAAAGCTGACGTCCAGGAGGTAGAGTGCAAATTCAAAGTCATTGTTTGTAAGCTGTTCTGCTATTTCCATTAATTGCCAAGCGAGGTCAACTCGTTTCTCCCATGGCGCATTAAAGTAACTCCACAGTTCTTCTCCAACATAATTTACAGCCACCATTCTTCCACAAGCTCCAAGATACTTTGCAAATGGCCAACCTTCATCAGACGGAAAACTCTACAAAAGAATTATCTTAATATTATAAGAGATTCTGATGAATATATCCTAGGTCTATCCTCAGATCCTTTCAGTAGAAATTGCTACTAGGAATGACTTTGGATTTTCTTACTACATTCGACAGTTTATTAGAGATTAAATTCATTTTTTCCTAATTCATACCAGTACTATGGACCTGAAAAATATTTAAATAGAGAACTTTACACTATAAAGCTAAAATAGGATGACAAGTCTTGCTTATCAAAATCTAAGAACCAAATTGATCAATAAGAGGGAAGATACTGTCTTTATTACCAAATCTGAAAGTATTTATGCTTTCCCTTATCTTCTTCACTTGTGTAAATGTAGTCAACCAATCCTTTTATTTAAACCGATAGCACTGCAGCCTATTAACCAGCAGTTATTTACCAGGCATCAGGAACTGTGTTATGGTGGCAATTAAGGGTGAACCAAACAGTCTCCATTTAGCCATGGGCTTTTATTTTAGAAGAGCATGCAGACACCAAACAAATAATTATGAATATGAGAAGTGTTAGTTACTAAGCAGCGGTACAGGTCCCAGGGGAGCATTTGGCAGGGGCCTTACCTAGTCAGGAAGCAGGTGGGGTGGAATTCAGGGAAAGATTCTTGAGAGGTGTCTTTTACCCTACATTCAAAGGTTTGGAAGGGACAAACTGATATCCTATTAATGCAACCTCCATTCTGAGCACATCTGGTCCAAGTTTATCTTGTTTCCCTTTCCCAGCCATATTTTCTGTTCTCCTTGGCCCAGCCTCAAAATTATTCTCATCTTAGCAAAGTTTTCTAATGGATTTTAAAACTACTGGGAGGATTATCATCCTAAATCAAAAGAAAAGTGTTCCATGGCCATGAACATTCATTTTCACCTTAAGTAAAATAATAGGCTTTATCTAAGGTACTTTCCACTGCTAAAATACATATTAGAAAATGAACATTGGAGAAAAAAAGGAATCAATAAATGTGTGTGTTCTGACTGATCCACCAACCAGCCGTTCCCCCAACTCTTCCCTCTTCTCGGGCCTCCCTGTTCCCTGAGACCCAACAATACTGAAAATAAGCCTATTAATCCTACTATGGCCTCTAAGTAAGCAAATGAAAAGAGTTGCAAGTCTCTCATTTGAAATCAAAAACTAGAAACAATAGGCATAGTGAAGAAGGCACATCTAAAACTGAGATAGGCAGAAAGCTAGGCTTCTTAACCCAAACAGCCAAGCTGTGAATGCAAGGGAAATATTATCAAAAGAAATCAGAAGTGCTACGCCAGTGAACACACAAATGTTAAGAAAGCAAAACAGCCTTATTGCTAATAGGGAGAACGTTTTAGTGATCTGGGTGAAAGATCAAATCAGTCACAACATTCCCTTAAGCCAATACCTAATCCAGAACGAGAACCCAACTCTCCTCAATTCTATGAAGGCTCAGAGTTCAGAAGAAAAGTCTAAAGCTAGCAGAGATTGGTTAATGCAGTTTAAGGAACGAATTCATCACCATAATATAAAAGTGCAAAGAGAAGCAGCAAGTGCTGATATAGAAACCACAGCAAGTTATCCAGAAGATCTAGCTAAGATAACTGATGAAAGTGACTAATCAACAGATTTTCAATGTAGATCAAACAGCCTTCTATTGGAAGAAAATGCTCCCTAGGACTTTCACAACTAGATTCAAGAAGTCAATGCCTGGCTTCAAAGCTTCAAAGCAAAGGCAGACTCTCTTGTTAGGGGTTAATGCAGCTGGTGACTTTAAGTTGAAAACAATAATTGTTTACCATTCCAAAAATCCCAGAATCCTTAAGAATGATGCTAAATTGATTTGCCTTCACTCTATATATGTAACAAGAAAGCCTACATGACAGCACAATGGTTTACAGCATCCTTTACTAAATATTTTAAGCCCACCATTGAGATCTACTGCTCAGAAAAAAAGATTCCTTTTGAAACATTATTGCTCACTGACAATGCACCTAGCTACTCAAAAGCTCTGATGGGGGTGTGCAAGGAGATTCATGTTGTTTTCACGCCTGCTAACAACATCCATTCTGCAGCCCACAGATCAAGGAGTAATTTCAACTTTCATGTCTTATGATTTAAGAAATAATATTTTGTAAGGCTATCACTGCAATACATAGTAATTCCTCTAATGGATCTTGGAAGAATAAATTGAAAATCTTCTGAAAATAATTTGCCAATCGAGATGCTATTAAGTGTATCTGTGATTCATGGGAGGAGGTCAAAATATCAACATTAACAGAGTTTGGAAGTAGTTGATTCCAAATCCCATGGATAACTTTGAGGGGCTCAAGACTGTAGTGGAGGCAGTAACTACAGATAGAGTGAAAATAGCAAGAGAACCACAATTAGAAGTGGAGTCTGAAGATGTGGACGCTAAATTACTGAAATCTCACGATCAAACTTGAAAAGAAGAGGAGTTGATTCTTATGGATGAGCAAAAAAAGTGGTTTCTTGAGATGGAATCTACTCCTGGTGAAGATGCTGTGAATATTAGTGAAATGACAACAAAGGCCTTAGAATATGACATAAACCTAGTTGACAAACAGCAGTAGAGTTTGAGAGTACTGACTCCAATTTTGAAATTCTACAGTGGGTAAAATGCTATGAAAAACATGGCAAGCTACAGAAAAATCCTTCGTGAAAGGAACAGTCGACTGATGCACCAAACTACATTTGTCATTTTATTTTAAGAAATAACTGTCATAGCCACCCTGATCAGTCAGCAGCCATCAACATTGAGGCAAGACCCTCTACCAGCAAACAGATTACAACTCACTGAAGATTTGGCTCAGATGATCATTAACATTCTTTAGCCAAAAAAAGAAAGTATTCTTAACTAAAGTATCTATATATTTTTTAGACATAATCCTTACATACTTAGTAGACTACAGTATAATGTAAACAGAACTTTTATATGCACTGGGAAACCAAGAAATTCACATGACTCACTTTATCATGATGTTTGCTTTATTGAGGTGGTCTGGAACTAAACTCTTAATATCTCCAAGGCATGCCTGTATCAATACTCTATTGCTAGAAACTGAACAATCTACATACACTTAGTGACTCCAAAATCAGGCTCTTATTCTTGTATCTCTTAGGAAAACAGGCAATATTAATTTTGCCCTGAGCTTTATAAAACTGTCACAACTCAATATCCTTGCATTAAAATTTTATCAACTTTAAAACAAAAAACAAATCAAGAATTATACTTTATCCAGAATTACCAATTTCAATTGCTCCCTTTCAACTATAACAATGCACAATATCTGTACTTGTTCTTTGGGTATGTAACGTTTTTCTCTTAAATTTTAATATTGCAGCTTTGTGATGAAATCCTAATTATGTAAATGAAAAACTTAGATATATATGAATCATTAATCATAGTAATTTAATTGATTCCATTTTAGTTAGGAGGTCATAGGTACTGGTTCTTTAGAAATTAGAAGTAAACACATATCTAATTTTGTGCCTTGCCTGAGAATTTTAAAATTTATTTTGGGAATTAGAAAAAGAGATTACTTGTGTCCAATTAGAAAAAGAGATTACTTGTGTCCAATGTGCAATACAAAAACTGTTGAGGAACCAAACAGCATTCTCAGCTATTCCCCTAACTTAAAATACCTCCATGACCTTGAAATTTTTGTTAGACAATTACAAAAGATTTAACTATTTCCCAGAAACATTCAGGTATAAAGACCCTGACATAAAAATGAAAGCACTAAAGTAAGAAATATGTAAGATTACACAGTTTTGTCATGCAAAAAGTAAAACAAAGAACTCCTCCATACACTACTGGTATACTATTCACATGCCATATTGTAGAACAGATACAAACATATCTTTGTGAAAATAAAATGGTCTTTGACAACAGGAGGAATGAGGAACCGGGCCAACATCTGCACATGTACAAATGCTTCCTTGTTTTTGGAACCTTTCCAACCGACAAACGGCAGTCAAAACTACACTTCATTACCCAAGTTCCCCATAGAAGAGGGTAACATATATAAGTAAATGTCACATTGAGCAACTTTATATTCATAGATCGCTTTCTGACAATGTTAACTGAAATTCTGTTATGCCTCATTTTAAGAAGAGCACTATAGTTCTTTCATATAGTTTGCTACCTAATCTTTCAGAAGAACTTTAATAAATGAATTCACACCATTTGCTCAAATGGTAAGAATTTTTCATTGTCTAATCAAAAGTCAGATTTCATTACTGATAATACAATTCTATTGAACACACTGTAGTCCAAACAAAATCCTCAAGGAAAGCCAAAAATTTGTAATTTGCGATTAATGCAATTCGGGCTTAGAACCAAATTACCATGGTCACGCAGAGTTTGAGAGACAAAATTTATATACGTTAGAACTTGGATTTGTTAAACGTATCAAGCAGTCAGAAAATAACTTATTCCTGATTACCAAACTCCCACAGTGCATAAAACACATTAGGTAGGATAGAAAGTTTACTGCTAAGGTCTACATTTTTCTATTTTAAAAAAAAATTTAAATCAGATTTTTCAGATTGTCTAGCACAAGCATATAGTTTAAAGTAATAAAATAAAATGTGATTTTAATAAATTATTTACAACTGAACAAAATGTACAAATACTTTTCAAATGAAAAAAGGAACATTTAAATTTAGAATGATATCAGTCCTAACTCGGGATTGGAGGCACGTCACTTAATTTTGCTAGGCTTTTAATCAGGATTGAATATATGACATTAAGTGTAAAACGTAGAATTTTCTAAAGTAAATATTAGTTAACGGTTGTACAAAGGCCTAAAACAATTATATATTTACTTTTCTATAACTGTATTTTTTTAAAAAATTAAGTTGGTAATAACTAAAGAAGATGTCTTTAGAAAAGCAGCATGGTTAGCTGCTAAGAGCTGAAAAAATATTAAATGCTTTCACTTTTAATTTTTAAAGCAAAATTTGTTTTGAATTTGAAGTGTAATATAA